GCGAGCCGTGAGTCGGCACCTTTCCCCAAGACTGGCTGACGTCTCCTGCAGTTTGAAATATTCTCGTGTTTGGGTTCTCCGCAGTCTTTATCTTGGTTTGCAATCGCAGTCTTCAAGAATTTAATGGAAAATGCGTATTATGGAAAAACTGCACGGATTTCACATTTCCTACACCCAAACAACTAGAGCTTTAACTCCATCTTCCACAAACTTCTGGAAGCCCCTTGCTTAGGATCACGCACCTGTGGTCCCACCTCACACTGCCTGGTCGCTAGCCCGAGCTATGGTCACTTATACGTACTCGTTCAGGGTGTCTGAGTGTTTACACTGCCCCGTGCGTCCAGGAGTGACGGTCCCTCGTGGCATCGCTTTCAACTGATTTCCTGCCCTACACAGTGTCAGGACGGTACTTCTTGGCAGGCAGAGGGATATAGTCATGAAGATTGAGAAACTTCTCTTGGAGTCAGAAGGTTTTCACGAACACTGCCCCGAGTCCCACGGACACCACGAAGCCGTTGCCTCCATGCTCACAGCGTTGCCGCAGCCCCGGCTAAGCTCACTGCATCCTGGCTCTCACCCCGGGCCTGGCTGTGGCCTTTGACTGCAGCTCTGCTGTGCCCATCAGGGCGTGTGACAGGGCTAGTGGCCGCCCCACCCCTGAGACAGCCATGCAGTTTGGGGCTCTGAACGTGGCGTTTGGCCATGGGTCGGCACCAGAGCTCTGGCCAAATGCACTCGCTATTGTTGATGCTTTGTTTTGTTTTTATTGTTATAGGGCACATGTGCTTGCTGGAGAGACACAGAGAGACAGAGAGGAAAAGTAAGAAATCAGCCCCAGCTGGGATGGCCATACCACAATCCCTTCCCTTCTCTCTGCTCAGGATTTTGGGCACACATGCACATGTGCCTGCCACGATTTTCAAGCCACCGGGTCCAGGACTCGAACTGCAGACTTGGCCCCGTGGGGTCCAGTGCCTTAACCACCATGCGGCCTGCTGGCCCTCACACACGGTTTTATGGGATGTGGCCGCACCTGCCCATTCTCCGTTGTCCATGGCTCACCTCCCGGCCTGGTGGGACCAGCTGCTATGGAGAGGGCCATGAGGCCGAGAGCCACTGCCTAGCTCCTCACGCAGAAGCTGCCCATCCGGATGTGCAGGGCAGCACGAGTCTGGCGACGCCCGGGGAGAGCTGCGCTGGTCCCAGGAGCACGTCACGGCAGTGCGTCCCCGCCACGTAGGGCTTGTCTTTCTGTCCCACGTACTGTTCCCTAATATTTTATGCACCACCCACGGCCGAGTATTTATGACACACATACAGGAAATAGATGCTGATTATCCGGAGAGTCCTCCTCAGAGAATGCGAAATGGATAACAGCTACCAGAAGTCCCAGAGTACAGACGCCAGCACCGCTGCCCGCATGGCAGCTCCCCTACCCTCGCAGCAGCCCTGAGGCCTGGGAGTGAGAGGGGTAGTGAAGGCGTGCCCTGACTGGGCGTGGCCTGGCGGGGGCCTGGCCAGCCCAGGGGCTCCCTGTGCTGTGGAGGGCTGAGGGCTTGCTTCCTGCCGCCAATACCCCATTGGCTCTGAACCTGGGAGGCTGCTGGGGGCCAGACTCACTGTCCACCCAGGAGGGCATGCTAGACCAGGGCCTGCTTGGAGGCCGCCGCAGGAGCAGGGCCAGAGGGCAGCAGGAGGAGAGCAGGGCCTGCTGGAGCTCACCTGGACCAAGTCCAGCACCCTCGACCCGCCTGGAAAACGCACCTCTCAAAATCAACCGGGTGCCTATTCAGGGCCAGGCGTGTCCAGCGTAAGCAGGGATTTCTCTTTCAAAGCTGGCTGTTCTTGCTGTGTGGTTTAACCTGCAGTGAGGGTGCATTTGAAGCTCTACCATAAACCGTGTTGATACTCCTCAGTTATATGTGAACACTTAGCGTCACACCAGAAACGGCAACCTGTCAGCCACGATCAGTGACGAGCCCAGGCTGCACACCACTGGGACTGCGAGATGGACGGGCGGGTGGGCGCGCAGACGGTTCAGAGCCTGCAGAGCCCAGGAGGGGCTGACACTCGTGTTCGAAGCGTACAACTGAGCACAGTCCCCGAACCAGGCCGGTGGGGACAGAGGAGCCCTCAGGACGGCGAGCAGGTGGGGATGAGAACGTGGCCAGGACATTGTGGTCTGCAAGTGCTGTTCCCACTGCTCTTAGAGACTGCGTGCCCCCAGGCTGTGGGCGTGGACACAATCCCAGCTCTACTTCCACAGGCAGGGAGAAGTATCCTTCTTTCTTGTTAGTTTTTCTATAGGGAATGTGCACTCACCAGAAAGAGAGAGAGAGTGAAAGTGAGCAGGCACCCCCAGGGGAATGACCACGTTGCAGTCTCTTCTCCTCCACTCTCCTCTGAGGATTATGGGCATTCATGCACATGTGCCTGGTATGAGTTTTAAGTCGTCGGGTCTGGGACTCGAACTGCATAATTAGCCGTGTGGGATCCAGCCCCCGCTCTCTCTAGACTCCTGCTGGCCTTCAGGGACAGCTTTATCAGAATGTGGCAAGTAGTTGTGAGATCAGGCAGGCCCAGGGGCAGTCGGTGGAGAAACACGTGACTCACACAACGGACCTTAACACGCATGCCGGGCCTCCGAGGTCAGCTCTACAGGTCACCCCACCCCCTCCGCCTTTAACACACGCGTGCCGGGCCTCCGAGGTCAGCTCTACAGGTCACCCCCCGCTCCGGGCCTTTTTCTCCCCCACAAAGCGGCCTGTGCCAAAGGCACTCAGAACGTCGGCACCAACCCGGCCCCCGGACCTCGGGAGTCAGGTCACGCATACTCGGATGCTGAGACCTCGCCAGTGTGAGGTTCTGGCCGTGCCACAGTCGTGTGGCCGCTGCCCTGAGACCACGCACTGCAGCCACAGGTGTGCGCCGGCTGCACCTAGCCCTCCGAGCGGAATCTGCGGACACCCTGAGCCGTGGCCTATGCTGGGTGTGTGAGTCCACCCAGTGGCCTCCCGGGTCACTTCCATTTGCGACTCCTGGCATTGCCTCCCACCCCACTGGCAATCCTGGGACCGCCTCACAGGTGTGCAAGGAGACCCCCCACCCTCCTGGCACCCCCGTGTGCGCGTGAGGTTGGCAGTGAGAACAGGTGCATTGTCCGGTTTAACTGCAGCACGGGAGGGCCACTCTCCGCAGTCTGCGAGGCGGGCGGCCGCCTACCTGACTGGCTCGCAGGTCTTCTGGGACCCGAGGCTGCACCTCTGCCTGCCGGCTTCACAGATGCCCGCTGGGGGTTTTCACCAGTTCTCCTCGGAGTTCATTTTCTGAAGGACAGAACAGGACAGGACGTGAGTAAGCAGGGAGAGGCTGCGGATGACTCGGCGCCGTTCTCACAGTGCGGCGGGAGAAGCCCACAGTCGGCGGTGGGGATGCGGGTGACTGCGTTCGGAGCCTGTAGGAGAGCTCTGGTGCAGAGAGACCATTTTTCCAGGGTTTTGTCAGAGGGTGCCTGTGCTCACCAGGGAGAGAGGGGGACATGACCAATCACCCCCGAGGGGGACGGCCATGCCACAATCCCTTCTCCTCCTTTCTCCTCTTGGCATTTTAGCAAGCACGGACACATGGCTGGTATGATTTTCAAGTTACCACACTGGGCTCGAACTGCAGTCAGCCATGTGGAAGCCAGTGCCTTAATCATCACACTGCCTCCTGGCCCAGGAGAGACCGACTTTAAACACTTAGTTAATTATCTTTGAAACCAATGATATCTATGTTTTTTTGGAGAGGAGTTTGCTATAGGGCACGTGCACTCACCAGAAAGACAGAGAGAGACAGAGAGACAGAAAGCACGAAATCACCCCCCAGGGTATGGCCATGCCGCAATCCCTTCTCCTTCACTCTCCTCTCGGGATCTTGGGCACGCACGCACACGCGCCCAGTGTGAGTTTAAGCCACCAGGTCCGGGACGCAAACCACGGTGACTACATGGGAGTTCAGCGACATAGTCATTATGCCATCTGCTGGTCCCAATATGTATGTTTTAAATCCATGTCTAGGTTTGAAGAGGCCACTATATGTGCTCAATATTTTTATTTTAATCCTGCATTTTAGTTTTATTTTTAAGCACATTATTAATTTTTAATTTATATTCCACTGTTGTGCATCTTTGTAACACACAATATGGTTTTTCAAAGTGTGCACACACATACACGTATCTAACAGTAGACAGATCAACCAGTCCCCAGCCAGTCTGTCCCAATGCTGCCTTCTTTAAGGCTCCCAGGCGATGAGAACACCATACAATAAGCAGAGAATATTTTAGGTGTTTATCTCTTGGGAAAATGTGACTTTTTCCATAACAACACGCACTGTGTTGATCACGAGCCCCTTTCCCTTTTCCGATGCCAGCCCAGCCTCGTGTTAGCAGAACTCTAACAAAGAACTAATCTTCATTACAGGAAGTATGGACTTCATTTACCAACTTTCTATTGAGGTTTCTACAGCATTCTGTCCATGCCAGGAACTATTGCCTATTCTAATCCGAACAGAAAATGCCCAGGTTGTCCCCAAGGATATTGCTCATGGGAGAATTTATTTTGCTAAAAGTCACAGGGAACCAGGTCGGAGAGCGGGAGAGGGTGCCTCAGTGGTTGGAGCTGCAGCTTCGGGCAAAGCCCCAAACTCAGAGCCGCTCACTGTCTCAACGGCGAGGCGTGGCGAGGGCCAGGCAGTCTCAGAGGGAGTGCTCGTGGGCGCCGAGGGGCGCCCTGTGCTGTTTCTGACCAGCCCAGCAGGCTCAGTGGGTCCCCATAAATCCTCCGAAAGACCGCGCCGGCTGCTGAGTTCACGGTTGAGTGGGACTCGACGCGGGACTCCGGATGGACAGTGGTTCGGTTCCTGGGGCTCAGGCAGCTGCAGGTGCAGCCTGGACAGCCTCATAAGCACCCTAAGGTGAGCGCAGAGCGACCGATTCCAGACCAATTCCTGGAACTAGAAAGGTTTTCAGGTTACCCTGAGAAACAAGGAGGGAATCTCAAACCACCACGTGTTTTTTGTCAACTAGAACCATCAGTTTGGCGTTTCGTGGCATTTTCGACATACTAAGCTTTTAGAACAGGTCGTGCTGGGTGTGTACCGTGGCGCATCCTCTGCTGGGAACTGGGAGGCACTCCCTGGCCTTCCCGTCTGCCAGAGCCCCCACACGCAGCGCCCAAGGTCCAGGCCCTGATCTGGCCTCTGAGGGCCAGCACCCCACACTCCCCGGCAGATGTGCCTCCGGGCCCTCCTGGTCTCGGGCGGCGATCCACTCCACACCCTCCATGCAGCGGCCGAGGTCCG